TCGAAACATTTAAATAATTTTTTCATTTGGTTAAAACTTTCAAGCTGATTATTTTCACTAAACCCCATTAAAAGTTTATAAGCCAGCACAACTTGCTGAAAATCATGAAAACGAGTAGTAGCAGTAAGACCAACACAGGCGCCAACAACAATAACAACATTATGGTGTTGCAATGACATCAACAACAAGTGAGCAAATATTCCAGAGGCAGTTAAGAAATTTACCACAATATTTTTTTTTTATAACTAAATAATATAGAAATGATAGTTTGCGTACAAGCGAGAGAAAAGTAGAAAATCTTCAACAAGTAAATTTTATAATAGTAAAATTCATAATAGTTTGTCTACGCGCTTATAAAGCAATAAAAACAAGAGTATAAAATTATACTAATGAAGGCGATAGCAACAGATATGGCGAGCTGGCTCTTGCCACTTTCATGCAGCGGACTCCACGGCGGATGAGTACTATTTGAAACGCCACTCACTAATGCAAGTACGCCGCTAAGCCAAAGGACTGACAAACCAAATGCTGTTGAAAATAAGGCTTCCGCCACGGAAGCGTGGGGTATACCTAAGAAGCTATTAAACTGTTAGGAAGTGGCTATGGCGGCGTATACATAACATAAATACGTATATGTGTATATCTAGTATGACTTACCATTAGCGTATAGACTTTTTATAATTTCTAAACTCATCTAGGGCCGCGGCGCCGTACGCAAGAAGGACTACTTAGCTAATGAAAGGCAGCGGAAGTGATAATGAGAAATTGTGTAGACACATAAGGCGTTAGATGGTAGAAGAGATGGGCGGTAGAAAGAAGGCAGCTTAATGAAATGTTACGAAAAACTGCAATGACTTTACAAATGAGGCTGCTAGCATGCCAACGCTATTGGAAACCAGGGTATCGAGTTGCCAGATAATCAACGACGCTCAGCAAGACGTGACGCTTAACGTCAGGAGGCAAAGCAGTTTTTGCTGATTACCAGCCGTGTCTAGTAGCCGTCGCTGATGATGTAGAAAGTTGTCGGGGTGGCAACGAGACAAAAACAAAGAAAAGAAAATTTTAATACAGAACTTGCTGGCGACAATGAGTTTAAGCGCTAGCATTAGGAAACTAGAGTTGACGTAAGCGCAGATGGAAAATGGATATGAAAATGATTTTGTCACCAACGCTAATACCCGTCACACGATGACAGTGAGACGCTGGATGGCCACGCAGACTGCGGTGAGGTGGACGCAGCTGATGAGTGTGGAGAAAAATTGGTTGTCGCGCAACAGCAGCAGTAAGCGCTGCCTCTTCGCAATCGCTGGTAATTGAAAAAAGGATATATAGCTGGGTGCACGTGCTGAGCGTATTAAAGCGTAGCTCAAGAAGAGATACCATAAGAAGAAGGAAAACATTAATGTAGAATGAGTTTAGTTGAGTAGAGAAATTCTTCTATAACAACACAAAGATGATGGGAGCTTATATTTGTGATTGTAGCTGGAATTCAAAATTTCCATATATAAATTGTCACAATATTGTAAATAGTTTAGAATACCAAGTGGCTTAAAAAGTTGTTACTAGTAATTAGTTGCTATCGATTGCTACAAAGAGAGCTTCAAAAAATGCCTCTATCTCAGTGATATCTCTTCTTTGTAGCTAAATTTTTTTATTTTAGGAATTTTTTTGATTTTTGAAGACAAGAACTTGGTCTCAAGACCATTTTTTAAATATTGACCAATATAAAGCTAATTGAATGGACGGAAAGAAATAGTTAAATATTTAACCAAGTGCTTCAATCTGTGATTGACCACTCTTCATATGATCGATGTCTGATGAGTGATCCCACTACTAAAGCCTGGAAAACTCGCTAATAAAAAAGAGTCGTATCGTCCAATAACTCTCCTTTCCGCAGTAGTGAGGACATTCGCGGCCTTGTTACTGCCGTTTTTTATGCACTATCTGAGCATACCTGGCTATCACTATGGTTTCTATTAAGTGCACAGCGTCATAAACGTCAAGACAACTCGTGGGCTAAAACAAAAACCAACCTTTGAGAGGACAATTCTACTAGCGTTAAACTTCCTAGAAGCATAATTTCAGGACTACAACGATGATATAGCTCAACTTACCGAATCTAAAGTGATCCTTGCGCAACTTCGATCTGGGTATTGTAGCAGGTTAAACTCATAGTTATACAGAACCGGCCCCGATAAACGAAATATATTTCCTTCAAGCAATGAGTCCCCGCACGACTTTAACCACGCCTTTGCATGCCTTATGAAACCAACGCATCTAACACCTCCCTCCTTATGGTTCGTTCCCGTCAGAACAACAATTAACTTACACTTTGCTACCGAAACAGCGTCTAGATAACCACTGCAACAACAACAACAGTTTAACAAAATACTTAATGACATTCCTCTATAACTTAACCCTCAAAAGTTAAATTTTTCACCTAAAAGTGTGCATCCTCTCTTACTTACACTTTTTCTAGAATTACTAGCCATAATTAGCATAAGTGTGTATACACATTCGAGTGCGTAAACTTCGCGTAGCACTGCGCCGATACTCGAGCAGATTAAGTTTCAATAAGCCTTTAAGTGCTTGCAACATATTGCGGCAATTTCCCTTACTGCTTTCGACGCAATAACTGCACGTGCAGCGGATTTCGTCAGACGACTAATGACATTGCGAAAATGAAGAAAAGAGTATAATATTGCAATTAGATGGCATTAAAGTTTGAGTGGCATAACTATTAGAATTAGGGAAGCTTAACGATTATAATGAAAAAGCGAAGCGAAGAAGTAAAAAACGGACGAATTCTGTTGGGCGCAACAGAAATTCGGTTAAGTGGCTGCACATGCATTATTTAAGTGGCAACTTGAAGAGTTGGAAATTTAATGCTGGAAATGTTGCAAATTTCCATATAACTTGGTTTTTATTAATTTTACTTTTACCCTTGGTGCTCCAAAAAAAAATATTCAGGTTTTTTTTTTTGAAATTACAATTTTTTTTTTATTTATTTACCTTAATTTTACTTTTTACACATTTCATTTGACTTTTATGTTATTTATTTGGAAATTTTAACTACACAAATGTTATAGTGCTTCAGTTGCACACTTTTCTAATGCCAACAATCGGCTCTTACATATTTACTTAGTAAGTTTATTTTTATGTACAATTTTTGCTTCTAAGCATTAGTTTTAAATCATATATAGTAGTTATAGATGAAGTTTATTACTAGCTTTTATATATATAAATTTTTTATTTTTTAATGAAGAATGGTTTTGTTTAAATAATAAAGCATGAGTTTTATAATTTAAATTATCATTTGAATTTGGTGCAAATTTAAAACTGTTTGTAAAAAAAAAAACTGTTTGAAGAAAACGAAAATTGAAATATGTGTTTTTATTTAGTAATATTTTATGTAATTTAATTTTATATATTAAGCGATAAAATTGTTTTTATTTATTTTTATTATTATTAAAAAGCGAAAAATTTGTTTAAAATTCACTTTTCTGTTAACTGAAGATTAATGTAATTAACTTAAATTCATTTGGAGATAAGAAAAAATGATTTATAATAAATATAATATAATTTAAAAAATATTTTTTGAAATTCGGAAGCATAAATATTTTTGTTAAAGAAAAACCAAAATTAAAATTTGTTTTTTATGTCAAAAATTTTTGCATGATAATATTGTAGGTATTTGGAGCAGAATTGTTATTCATATTTATACAAAAAATTATATATAACATTTTTATTGCAATTCGGTGCAAATTTTACAAAAACGAAAAAAAAAAAATTTTGAAGATAATGAAAACTAAATATTTTATTTAATAAAGTTTATGTAGCTTAATTATATATATTAAGCGATCCAATTTTTTTTATTTATTTATGCAGCTTTTATTACAGTTCGAAAGCGAAAATATTTTTTTCTAAGTAAAACCAAAATTCGCTGTTTTATTATGTAAAATTTGATGTAATTAACTTATGTATATTTAGCGATAAAATATATTATTTATAATAAATATAATACTATCTATAAAATTATAATTGAATTGATTTAAAAAACTTTTGTGTTATAAAATTGTAGGGACTTAAAAAATTATTTTTAGTTATTTAGAAAATTATTTATAACATTTTAATTCCCATTTAGTGCAAATTTTGCAGAAGAGGGGAAAAAAACTGTGTGAGGAAAAAACAAATATTTTTTTTAATAAAAATTTGTATGAAATTATTTTTTATTAAATTAACGTTAATTATTAATTTATAATTATTAATAAAATTATCTATAAAAAATTTTTAAGAATTACTTTATCTTAATTAAGTGTGTAATATTTACAGTAAAATTTAAAAATTTAGACATAATATTATAATATACAATACAATTACAATTGTACTCTCACATGTGGCAAGAGTAATATAGTTTTGTTTGTATTTTATTTTATTAAGTGTTATACTTTTAGCTGTCATTAACTGCATTGTTTGTTTATAAAATTTTTCTTTTGCCTATTTGTATTCTAAATACAATTTTTATTAATTTTATTTGCATATTTAGCACATTTTCTTAACATTAACTATAAACTGCATATTATATTATTAAATAATATAAATATTTATTATCTAGAGAGCTTAACTTGATGTTAAAAAGTTTTGAGTTTTTTGCTTTTTGATTTATTTTATTTTTATATATTTTTTTGATTATTATTGTTATATATACACATATGTTTTGAAGACGTAATTAGCTAAAGGATTTCGACATATTTTTTAATAAAAATATTTTAATTTATTTTATGTATTTTTATATTCATAGATATATACAATAAACATTTACAAAATCTAAGGCTTTCCAAAGTTGTTGTCATTGTATAAATGATATACAAAATAAAAGAAAAATTACAAAAATATTGAATTTAGCTAAAAATTATTAATTTAAAAAATTTTTAATTTTATTGAAAAAATAATTCTAAGCTTGCTTATAGTATGTAAACAAAAAATTTTTTTTTTTTTTGCTAAGTTTACTTTTAAATTTTTCTCTAACCATAATTTTTAGAAAAGCACAGACTTCACACACACACAGAAACATACAGTAATTTTGGTTTTCCACCACTTTTGTCTTCAAAAATTTGCACTCAAAATTTTTTACGCTCACATATTCTATACCGACACTGCCGATTATTTTATGTATAATGTATATATATATATATATACACATACATATGTGCATACAAAATATACATTATACATATGTATACGTATGCTCGCTTTTAAATATATTCAGTTCTCATGCAACCTAGCGCGTAATCATCTACTTCATATCAATTTTTTTACTATACGACTTTCTATGCTTACATTTATCGCACACAGCCACACTATTCCATATGCAAATGCCCTAACATGCACACTCATAAATCGCTTTGCGATTACGTAAGCAGCCAAACGCCGCAGCGCTCGTGAACTCATGACCAACTAACATTATATACGCTTACATTATGCCTTATTATATGTTTTATCCAACTTATATACCTACCCATATAAATATCTATGTATAGTATGTATGTATGTATGTGTATACTTATGTATGTTGCATGGTTTTGTGTTTTTGTTAGTAAATACGTGTAATTTATGTGCAGCAGCTTCGAAATGTTTTCGTGCACCAAAATACCGCTTCGCTCCTCAACGGCTGTGTGTTGCTCTCCTTTGTTGTTTTTGTGGCCTTTTTTTGTTGTTGCTTCTCGTCAGCGTAATTATGCCAGGTTAACATGCACATATGTCTGTATTATTCGGTAAGCCATGGCTATTATGGCCGTAATGCCATGCAAATGCGTTTGATATGATTTAGTCGATCCGCCCACATGTCCGTGATACATCGCTGCTGGATTATCACCTGTTGATACAAAACATAACATAAAGCGGTATTAAAATCTGAATTTTGTTTAGTAACAAAGCAAATCAGATTAGTAGTCGCTTAATATTAGAGTGGCTGGCCAATGGAGAGAATTACAACGAGATTATAAATTTTGTTTTTATTGGTGTAGCGTTACGAAAAATATTTAGTGTTGGCTTATTTTTGAAATAATTACATTGATTACAGCAATTAGTTGGTATTTGAAAACTTAGCGAATAAATTTAAACAGAGTTTTTGATTATTGTAAACGAAGTGTTAAACGGCAGCTCATTTAACTCCTAATGAATAAAAAGCGTTACTATATTTCGTGTTGGCTTATCCCATTTATTAAGTGCTGGAATTATTATTATTATTTTATAACGAGACAACGCATTACTTCGCCAGCGACGTTCGCTTATTTTTCAAGCAGTAGTGTAACCTGTGCGCTCACTATTTTCTTTACCTCTAAAGGACTTGCTGCAAATACAAAGAGTAGTTGATAAACACTTCTCAAAGATTTTTGTATATACTTTTATAGCTGTTCTGCATCTTTATTCAATAATCCCACGATTCAATTTATTATTGTAATAAATATGGCAACATTGTCATTGAGAGATAATATTTATCAAAGCAACCACACAAACTTACATTTTTAAGTATTTACTCTCAATAAATCAATCATTGTTTAGGATATACAGAGACATATGACTAGTACGACATGGCGTATGCGCAACATTATTACGTACCATTTATCAAAAAATATTGGAACAATGGCGACTCAGCTGTAAACTCACATACAGCTAAGTATAGCGCTAAAGCAGTATACATTTATTATTGAAGGTGAGAGCAACTTCTGCTACAAACCAAATGTTATTAAAAAGATTCACAAAAAAACTGCAAAAAACTTGTGTAAGCTTTAGACAAAATCTCTTATAAAAAGGTTTGCTTATGCCATAGATTTGCCATTCAAGATTAGGTAAAATTGTGAAAATTATTTTATATCCTACATTTAATTGTCTTGAAATATTTGCTTGATACATATAATATCCATGGGGGAATATATAAACGGATAAAATAATATTTCCTAGAGAACTGTACAATACTAAACAATACTTGTATATTTTTACGTACGAATATTCACACGAATTTAAACAGGGTTACAGAATTTATTTTAATAATCGGCGATGCACTTTGCAAAATTTTGGCTTCCCTTGAGAAAAACGGTCTCTGGCGGTGATTAAAATCTTTCTACCTGAAACTTGCCGCAAATTCAAAGACCAAAAAAGTTTACTATTAAAGAGATGACTACTAACAATAATCGAAGAACTGGTAAAATTTTTGAATTTTGACAAATTGTCGGCTTTCCAAAAAAAAAAAGGTTTTTTTAAAATACATATACTTTAAATTGGCTTAAAAACCTGAAACTATTTTAGAAAATCTTATTTCTTCGTTTATTACCAGACAAAACATATCTAAAGAGGTCAAGTGAAAATTACAAGTGAACAGTTAACAGCACAACATTTTAAATTTTGGTAGCCGATTACATTAAGAGTTATATCGATTTGAGAATTTCAAAAATCTATTTTTTTGCACATATATCGTATTTAAATATATTTGAAAATATTCGCCGAAAACTTGGAGTTGATCCGGCAAATAATGTCGATTAATAAATTACATTATTATTATGATATATGTGCAAACAAATCGATTTTTGAAATTACCAAATCGATATGACTCTTTAAATCAGATAACTCAAATACTGAACAATATATTATATTATACATAACTGTATAAAGTCAACTGGAGAGACGGATAATCTTATGTTCTATATCTGAGAGCTATTAGGAGGTTTCAGTGGACTTCAAAAATTTTGTATTATACTCGTAGTAGCTCTTAGAGCCAAATTAGCTTTCCATATTTTTTATAAGACACACGTCAGTTTCAAAGTTAAAAAGGTTGAGAGCATTCGAAAATATAATATTTATGTATATATATGAAAATTATTGTGAAACACTTGGCGAATATATTAAAATGTTCCGGTGTTCCTTGTTAAAGCTATTTTTAAAATATTACTTCGAATACAGAATTCTCAATTCCAAAGGGTAACAATAAGAATCTGCAAATATTTGAATATATACAAATATATGTTTAAAACTAGAAATCTTTCGCAGCAACGTTGTTGTCATTGCGGTTTTGTCAATCGCCAATATATGGCAAGCAAAGTGTAAAATTACACACACACAAACACACATATATTTATATTTGTCTGTATGTGTGCTTATCGATTACACGTGTCTACACTTTTGAGAGTAATTTGCGCCGTTGTTGGCAGCGCTGTCGCGTTTGCTCGCCATCAACACCAATGTCAACGCTTTAAACAAAGCTATATATGTGTTTGTGTGTATGTGCTAAAAGTAATGGTGTGCGTTTATATTACAGGCAAATGACTGACTGACTGACTGACTGCGGTGGCTGGTGCGACATACAGCAAACCGGACGCAGACAGACAATGGTGTGTTGCCGAGCATTTGCATTTGCACTCAACACGCAACACAACTACACACACAAGTAGACATAACTGCTTATTGTAAGTTTATCAGTTAGTGCGTTATGGTTGCCGTAGGCTTAGTTATTTGCGTCACGTGGCATGGCGTTAGCGCAGTTCATGGTTTTGCAATTTTCATAAATAACTTTTATTACTTGCGCAAAGAATGCGCGCTAAATGATGCTGGTGCTACGACCATGTGGCAAGCAATTGCCGTAACAAACATCAACGACCGCAGCGGGCCAACGCGGCAGCAACAGCATTACAATAAGCGCATTTACAAACTACGGAAAAAATTCAATGCTCCTAAATATCTACAACCACCGTTGCTGACATGTTAGCCCTTTCAACAACCGATGCGCTCGCCGCTTTGCCACAACCGCAAACAACGTGCAACATTTAATATTTTAGTATTGTTTTTTATGTTGAACGTTTTATGTCGCCACATTTTATGCCATACAGATATGCGTAAGTTACTCAAAATATATGCCAATGTGCTTGTAAGTAAACAACTGTAAATATATATGCATATACGAGCACACATTACATACGTGATACGATATTAATGGCAGCGAAATTTACGAGACAAGATTTTATAACAAATTTACCTCCGCTCTGTGGCTCTGCGGAAACTAAATGTAATCTAATATGGCTATAAGACAATGACTTTTAGCGAACTGGTTGTGCTTGTTGCGTAAAGGCAGTAAAACATACGATTTAGGTTGTAAAATATATTTTTAGCGATTTCTTGCGCAAGTCTTAAACATACTTCCACTATAGAGTAGTTGCAAGGTAAATGACACAAGGCACTTCAGACCTCTTTGGCCAATACCGAGCAGCATGTTTGAGCAAAACAAGAGAGAATTGTAACTTTGGCTGCACCGAAGCTACAATACCCTCCGCAAGTTCTTGCCTAATTGTAACTAGACATTTTGTTTGTTCTTTTTGCTATGTTGTTTGATATAATCAATGTTACTATAACTAGTTTTTGTCGGCAAGTTTGCATGACAACTATAGGGCAATAATACATGCCGAATTTAGTGAAGATATCTCGTCAAAAGAAAAAGATTTACAAACAAAAACTTGATTTGAATCTATCAGCTTAGATGACAGATATATCGTATAGTAGACCGATATCAGCAGTTTCGAAAAATGAGCAGCTTTTTGAGAAGAATAAGATCACCGGATCCAGTAGTATTTAGTTCAATGTATTGTAGTTGACGGAATAATCTTAAGGATTTAAATATATACCATATTAGCTATATCTACTGGCACGCTTTCCAAGGAATGGCTGCGGGTATAGGGTTTTCTTGAAGCACATAAAGAAATTGTTCTTAAAACGATATCAGATCTCACACAATTCACATCAGACGCGGTGGTTAAAAGAAAATTCCGGTCTTTGACAGGGAGTCAGTGAACAATATTTTTCGTAATCTGTTCTCAATGAGGATATCCTCTGAGTTAAACTACCGTGAGGAATTCAGGTAGCAGTTCTTTAAACCCCACCTTCCATACTAGAAGTTGTGGCAGTATAAATGGTAATTATCCTAGGACTAGTACTGATTAGGAGAGCTCTAAAGAGAGTCAGTATAATTGCTACAAAATCAGAAATATTAGAAGCTATTGAAAGTAAATTAAACGACTTGTAACAAAATCTAAAATTATATCAAAATTTCAAGAGTGTTTGTAATGTTGTAATAATTAAAATGATACTGATTGCAGTAAATAAGAATCATGCTTCTATAGATATATAATATTATATTATTGGTATAAGCAGACTGAGCGAGTCTCTGATTTCGTTGAAGACGTCCATTGCATATTTTCTTCGCTTTCAAAATTAAATATATTCAATAATAAATACAATAACTCAACCTTTAGTGAGTACAACGTCTTTAAACTTTTCCAAAACTTTCAACCACACTTTATTTGCTGTAAGTTAATTTGCTATGACAAAATTTACACCTCTGTTGACTTCTTTGGAAGTGTTACTTAGGTCATTCACTTAAAAAAAAAAGAAAAATACAGAAAGTACACTGAACTTCATAGCTATAAATCTACGCTTTGAGGCACAAATGCTAAGGTTAAATTTACTATTAAAAGCAATAATCGTCTTCCACTTAGACTTAGCAAAATTAGTACATGTTCACTTCAATAATCATCGCCAATTGAGCTCCTCGAGCGCCGTATTCTATTTAGCAAGGCGCTTTACAGTAGTACGCACCACATAATAAAGCACTAACTAAATTGCCTCGAATTAGTCAATTGCCACTCACCAATTTACATTAATAACATAAGTCAAATAAAGCAGCTTGTCGCATGGGTAACGGCCAAACTAGCTGTTTGGAATATCTGAGAGGGACCATCGCCTTGTTATTGCCTTTGTAGGGTCCTCTATTATCCTACTTATTTTAAAAACACTGCTACACAAACACATAAGCACATATGTAGACTAGAGGGCCTCCCAAATATGCCTAAGGCTCTGCCTAATGGCTGGAAATTTATATGCAAAATTCATTAGTGCGCGTCCTGCCATCATGTGTTGCATTACAGCTGTGCCCTTTGTATTCGAGACAGCTTGGCCTTACATGTTTGACTTCATTCTGGCATTTCTTGGTTCTTGTATAGTTTCCACATACCCATTAAGTATGTTGTCTGTAAAGCGATGACTATTACAACATGAGGCACAGATTTATTTCAAAGAAAGTACAGACAATTTATTTCTTGATTGAAAAATTTTATATTATTCAATGTTTGCACTAAGCTTAAGACACAAAGTTAATGATGCGGTCGGTCAAATTTCGAAGAGGAAATGTCTTCCACTTTTACTCTTCTTACATCTAACAGTGTAAGGTCACACACAGCAAGCGACTTATAAAATGCCTTGGGTTAATTTTCCTTTTATGGAGTTTCGAAGTGTTTATGGAGTGTACTGTATAGAATTGCCAAACACATGGTATGACACTTTGATAACTGGTTTGACAACTAAACTCTAGGAAATGCTCTATCTATAAATACGCGCTTTATATGCAGCTCACAAAAATGTATATAACTAATTGCATTGAAATCTAAGAGGCATTTTCACAAAACTGCTTAATATATCGATTTTTAGGCATCAGCGCAAATTAAATTTTCAATAATATTTCGAGAATGTCAGCTATAGTCGTATTAAATATTTGTTTAGAACCATCAGCAAATATTTAGCATATTAATGCAGCTTCATTTGGAATTCGCAGAAACTAATTGGTGCGTTTTTTTTCCATTGCAGGTTTTCGATTGTCATTGACAGAATTTTCCAAATAAACTTGAAACTGATTGATTGAGCTTTGACAATATTATCAGTCAGAGTTTGTTCAATGAAATGGCTTAATTCAATTAATCGGCGTACGCGTAGTTATATTAGATTATGGTGGAAGAGTAATGGAGGTTGTGCAAAAATTTAGTGGTAATGGTGAATTGGTCAAATACAGTGGATTTGGTTATAATAGATGATAGATAGATAGATAAATAATATATATTTCAATAAATGCCATGAATTTAAAATTTTTCATATTTGATAGTTGTTAATTAAGAAGCGCATTTAATGGGCAATTTCGTAAAACCTATATTTTCACATATCGAAATATAATTTACTAAAATTTTAAATTAATATTTATTTATATTATTTAATCAACTCCACAAGTTTATCTTTAAGCGCTTTTTTCTCAAAACAACATTTTTCAAATTGGTTGCGCTTGTAACTTGAGTCTTTCGATTGTATGAAAAATGTAATTTGTGCGGGCCAAAACTCGTATCATTATACGCTGAACAGGGTACATTAAGTTTGCCAGAAAGTTTTTAACAGCCAGAAAGAAACGTCGAACTTATAGGGTCATGTTGTATATATACCTAAATGATTAACGTGACAAGCTTAGTCGATTTAGCCATATCCGTCTGTCCGTCCATCTATATGTATATACGCAAGCTAGCTGCTCCATCTTTGTGATAGTCATTTAATTTGCTCATGGGTTTTAGTCGGAAACACCGAAACTTTTCTATATACTCACTAAGTTACTTTAGATATATACTTAAAATTTTAAGCAGGGCTTATGATGGTCTGATAGTTTTTTTTGAGATGGAAAACTAAAAGTTTAGGGGGCGTCTCGTGAAAAATTATCAATTTCGTAAATAACGGACACCCTAATACTAAGTATTTCATATGTTATATTTTCTGAGTATTTACAAATAAATTTCTTCTTGTTACAAGCAACAAGGCTTATAACTCTTTAGTTTCGACTTTTTCCTTAATATGAGTAGTAACCTTTAATATGAATAAAATATATATACAAAAATATTGTGTATAAAAATATTTCATAATTTTTACTGAATTCCAGACGTAGATAAAGTCATATACTTATATAGCTGGTATTATTTTTGCTGCTTTTTGGTTGAATTAATTTTTGCACACATAAAAAACTATCACTCCCACTAGGGGAAAAGTATGCGTGTCAATATTTCTTCAGTTTTTTTCACACAATTCTTTTATGTTTACCTTCTGCTGCGTCACGTACCTTCAGCCGTTGTAAACACATATACGAACTCTTATATACACACATATATACACATGTGCATGTGTGTGCGCTTTTTGGCCACTTGAGAAATTTCTTTGCTGGTGCATAGACACTCATGTCGTTTGCAACTATCGCCACAAGCATTATCGGCGCATCAATGACAGGTGTTGAGAAGCTGTTTAATTTATTGGCAACACAAGTCGAGCTATTTAGTGAAGACTTGTTGCTGCTTGTTGTTGGCGCAATTGAGTTTGGCTATGTAATGCAATTTCGCTCTCGTCTGGCAATTGTAATGGCACGTGACAGAAACACGCGTTATTTTTCTACTATTTTTCTAATTAAGCGTACTTGTCAAGAAGTACATGTCTTAAAGCAGGCGTTGGTTCTATATAAGAATATCTTTTAGATATTTTACGAAAAAATAGTTACGCTTCTGCAAGTTGGAGAGTTTTACTAAATAATGAGGACACGTGCAAGGTTGTATGGTATATAAAAGTTATGACACTTACGGAAATTTGTATATTGGTACTTTGAGAACTAGTTGGAGCAAAGCCATGCCCTCAAAGCGACATAATACATAAATTTTAAATTTCCAAAAAGCTGACAGAAACCTAAAAGTCGTAAATACAGTTAAGCACGCTCTCATATGCATCATTTCAAATTTTTGATTATTCTTATAATATCTCTCAATTCGAGGTGTAGTTTATTTTACCACAATTTACTTGATCCGTTGGAATATAACTCATGTGTTACTTATTTTATCTATTGAACAACTTTAAATATTATTCAAATCGCATGATATCTCTCAAAACTCGACTTTCCTATAGCTGATTTAGGCGTCATTAAAGAGCACGAAACAAACAAGTATAGTAACACTGAGCAACTCTCTTTGAACTTTTTAAAATCTCCGAATCTCTTCTTAAAGAGAGCAAAGCACCGCCATGTTAAAATTCTACTGATAGCGACGTTTGGGTGCATTTTCTTGCCAGCTCGTCAGCTTTACAGTTACTTTTGATTATGCTGTGGCCTGATACCCATACCATCACCATAAAGTGACTCGATAGTGAGATGGTGATAGAGTCACATCTACACTTTCTGGCTAGATCTATGGAAGATGTATGGTATGGATTTTAGTGTACCGCACATGCTGATGAGCATCACTCGTTGAAAACACTTGAGCTTCCTAGCAAGTGTAGTAAGTTCTAGCGCTATGCATCACACAAAGACCACATAAAACATAATGGGATTGGCTATGGTGTAGTAGAACCCAAAACCTTTTTTCAGTGAAAGACCTCACCGTTTATTAATGAGAAGGGTCAGTAGTTCAAAATAATAGCAAGTGGGACTTTCGGGAATTAGCTATGACGCTGACGGTACTCAGGAACTCATGTTCAAGGGGTATTACTTGTAAATGTCTCGAATTAAGTAGGCATGGATGGTTAAACGTTGTAGAAGTGTTATATCTAATTTATATATCGCAAATGGTGTTGAATGTTGGGCTTTACTTTAAAAAGTTTTTGGTTCCATTGCAAAATATATATATGTATATGCTCACCTTTGAAAATATGTACCAACACACTTGCAGGTTGTGTATTACTGGCCACGCAGGTAAAATTGCCGGAGTGTTCACGGCGTGTGCGTTGTATTGTTAACTCCGATGATTGGAAATCTGTGGAATATGAAGAGAGAATGTGTTACCATAATTATTTTTTATTTAAAAGTTTTTTTTTTTTTATATTATTTTACACTAATTTTTAGATAATAGTATACAAGTAAGACACTTAAAATTTTACTAAGGAAATAAATCACCATTGAAGCGATGATCCGAGTTCGTGTCCAAAAAATTACCAAACTTCTGAGTGACTACATAAAATAAACAACCGTTTAAATTGATTGAACTGACTCGAATACAGTTTGTACACGTTTCTAGAACGCATATCGCCCCACCCTAGTATGAGTATTGTGTGTACTACCAGCTTATGCACAAAACTGTTTGCAAATGTTATGCAAATGCGTCGAAGACAAGCGGAAGTGCGAGTTGATTGACGCTATTGGCAAGTATTGCTGCTTATCCGAATACTCGCAGTGGCGTGTACATATATGCAAATTGATGATACTCATGGCATATAAAATATTGAATTTCAATTCGGTGGCGCACTCGATGTGAGAAAATGCACTTTATAGCGCAAATATGTGAAACTGTATATAAAATACTCGTAAAGTGTCGCTTTTGTTTGCGCACGGAAATGAAGGCAAACATATTTGTTGCAGCACTCAAGGCGAATATATTTGTGCGAGTGTGCAGATATCTACAGTGCCGTGAAATTTCACACTGGTAAGGAGTTATAACGGTTTAAAATAATAATTTGCTGACTAGTAACGAACTAGTGTGAAAAGCATTAGATTTGTACGAGTTTTTTGAAAGAGACTTCGTAGAATCAGTACTTTTTATATGAAATCATATTTTTTAATAGAAAAGTCAAAAAAATTCTTCAATATTAAAATTATAATTTTTGCTGAATATATGGTTTGAACTAAAATGCTTATCTATTTAATATGAATTAATTTGAGACCAGTATATTTTTGTTACATAAATCTGGCAATTGAATCACTTGTGACATTAGCGCTTAAAAACCAATAGTTAGTGATAATTACTAGGCTAACTAGTTGCACCCTAAGTACTATTGTTGGCAAGTAGTTGTGTACTAGTTTTCAAGTAGTCTGTAATTAGCTATATTTGTGTGTGTACCCACGACTGCATTATATTTGTGTTAATAATAAAATTTAGTGATACTTATTTGCCAATAATATCTATATATATTTTTTTTAAAGCACTACTAAAAACTAATTTCAAATAAATTTGTATTTTTCAAATACTGATGCTTCAATTATACAAAAGCAATTATATTTTAATTAAATTCATGATTTAGTTCTTTCTGCTTGGTTAGGACGTTTTATAAACGATAAATGAAAATTAAAATTTCTGTCTGTCAGTAGCAGTATGGGATGGCAAACGCTATTTTAAAGTGATAAGAGAGCTGCATTCTACCACCACTAGTACCTAGGTTCGTTTCCACTTAGGACTAACATACAAAAATTACTTTCTTTCAATATTAGTCGTTACTTGGCAAGAACTAGTAAACTGCCGAATGTGTTTATGCCAAAAACATGAATTTTATTAAAATAATCAGTCGTTCGGAGTCAGCTTGCAAGTCATTTCCACTGTCGAAGAGCAAGCTCAAAGCGTATGCCACAAATGGTAAGGATCTTTTTAAACGAAAATTTAATAACAATTTTTATTTATTTGGTCATTCAAGAGAAAAACGGTGTGTAATTCAAAATTTTATCAAATATTGCGGCACTTAATGGAAATATGTTATATTTTATATAAATTTATAATTAACTTATTATACTTATTAACATAATTTGAATTTCGTTCAAAACTCACCTGGCTCCGTCGAAACATTTATGCCTCGATCACTGTCATAGTTGATCATGCGGTTGTCATGATACCAGAATATGAACTCAGACGCCTCCGTATTCTGCACGACGCGACATTGCAGGCGCAGCGTAGAGCCCGGTGTCAGATAGCGTATTGGCGGTCCAGATATTTCAGCGCGCGCTTCTAAGCGAATTGAATGCGAGAATTGAAAATATGGCCAAAAGTTAATTGCGAATTTCAAGCAAATTGCCGTCGGGCAATTCAGTCGTGTTGAATTTGTTGATTATTGTTGCAATTGAAATGTTGATTGTTGTAGCATTTGGTTGTCGTATCAGCAGACAGCATCAATGCAAATTGCAACGGCGTGTTATGAGAGGCGGAAAATTTAAATGAAAATTGGTTTGGCGTAAATTAGTGTTGGTTAGCTATTAATACATGTGTGCATATGTATATATAGTATATATACATATATGCCTATAGTATATATACTTATTTATTTGAGTAGCTTATGCCTTTCGCTAATGTCATTTCATTAGCGACAGCTTAAAATAGTGAAATTGACTTTGCGTTGAGTGCTGCCACTACCGCGCACCGTGAAATATTGCTATAACACCATTAATTAAATATTATCACTTCCCGTTACTATGCCGCACAATACATGAGGATTTAGATATTCATGGCCGCGTGTAGTCGTAATCCGCTTAGCTAAGTTGCCAATTCATTTATACCAAAAACTTTATTTATTTTTGCTGCTTAGTTATTTGTTGCTGTCAATACACAAGTGCTGTTTTTGTTTTAATTGTATTTCCCCCTCAAGCCAATATTTGATTTTATTGAGCGCAATAAATGACTTTTGATCCTGTCATTTTCGACTAAAAATGTTGATAACTTTTGTGTTTTGAATAAATATTAATATTTCTCTAATTAAAATAGTAATTTAACTAAAACACAAACATGTCGTCAACAAAATATCCGGAGCTTGCAGCGCTCAGTTGTATAGTATTAACCTTTCTAAAGAGATAGCTGTCAAACCAGCTGTCAAAGCAGTACATATTTTCAATGTAACTGGATCAATTCTCATGGAGATAAAGTTCAAAGCTTCTGTGTTGTCAAACTAAGAGAACGGTTAGAAATGTAGAACATTTCCGGTGAAAACAATTTCTCTTTCCATTTTTTTAACATAAAAAATAACTTTTTTAGGATAAACTTTTGTTTACTTAATATAGTAAGAAATATAAAAACCACTTTAGAAAATATCCAACTGAATCTCAACAAAAACATGTTAATATTGTATTATAAATGAAAAGTTTGAAGGTGGTGAATTTCATATAACCGATACAGGCTATACGGCTAACTTTAAATTAAAAAATATATACAGATTTAGGACAAATGTCCCAGCTGAGTGAGGAGCATAGTCTTCGTTCATTATTATTCTTACTAATATCCAATGTAAGCCAAACGATCAAATTAAGCAATATCTTTCACATCAAGGAAATCCGCTTAAAAACAATCAATTACTGAGCTGACGGAGGATACATATAACCACAGGACTATCTAGAGCTTGTTTTGTTTTAAATGCCATTATGATTGTATTACTTATTATTCGAATAAAATCAAAAAAGGTGAATTTTAAAATTTCCCTAAAGTGAAGAAAGAACCAGATACTTACATTCAGAAGTGAGACATAGGATTTATTTCGGTATAAGAGATAACCGTAAAGCGCTTTTGATAATTTTTACTTGGCTCGAGATCACATGTGTTCAAATTGCTTAAGGGGTGGTAACAACTTGTGAATTTCAGTAAATCAATTTCGTTTTGTATATATTGTATAACAATACAAGTATATAGTATATATTTGAGAAAATTCTCCGGAAACTTGAAATTGATCCCACAAGTAGTTTCGGAGATATGAAATTGTATTTTTAACAACCCGAAAATTTTAAACGCAATTTTCTTGAAAGTCCGTTTTCAAAAATTGTGAGGAAAACTTCTCCGAAACAGCTGGATCGATGACTTGAAATTTTCATACAAAATTATAAGTTATATAAATATAAATATATAAAAAAGTAGTATAAATTTGTCAGATAATGGTCAAAGGAATAAGGCTTGCAATAATAGTTTCGATTTTTAAGCCACTCTGAATCGTAGATTTTTGCACAAAAAATAACTGTTTTTTTTTTTTTTTGGGAAGCCGTCATTTTGTCAAAAATCAGAATTTTGACAAATCCACCAATGATTACCGAAACTTGTCTACAGTATTAAAAAAAATTGGTTGGTTTTTGTATTTGCGGCAGTTTTTAAGCAGAAAATTTTCTCTCACCGGCAAACACCTTTTTGATGAGGTCCTCCTGAAGATCGGCTACGAGATCAAGCGAGTTCAAATGAAATTCTATAATTGTATAGTATTAAGTTTACCACGACGTTTGTAAAACCCAGGAATAAACGTCGGAGACCCTAAAATAATTTGTATGTCAAGAAGCTGCTTATTTTTCGGAACCATGGAGATCATAATAGCTGCAATACAAACTGTACGATCGGAATCAAGTGCTTGTATGGAATTATTTTTATTTGTGCAGGATATTATAGCTTCTGTTTAACCGAAATTAAGGTTTTTTTTTAATCATAAACATTTATATTTTATTTTTTTTTAATCCAATGTTTGTGAGAAAATATATTTTCTTTCAATCTGGTACTTTTGATTAGAAATTTAAAAATATTTTTAATAAGGATTTCCGGAATTACAGTATAAAAAAATAATAAATTTAAATGTTTATTTAATTATCTTTTACTACTTACATTGCAACCCTGCTCTTTATAAAATATATTTCTAAGAAAGAATACACAAATTCATATTCTAATTTTTTTTTCACAATATCGAGCTGAAAATAATAAGTTATCGCATCTACATGTGTATAATTAGAGACAAAGGGGCTTTATATTATTAACATGTATAATATTTATGTATATGTATAAGTGTAGTACACCTGCCTAGCTACAATTTTAACCCTTTAATTTTCAAAAGCAAATTGTTCATTGTTTTACATAAAGTATTATTTACCAAAGCGCAACAAAAGTGCAGTTACGTAGCATAAATTTAAATATATAAATATATACCCGAGGCATATCATAAAATTATTTCGCATTTTGGCTGAAAATTTCAATGGATGTTTAGGGAGCCAGCCAACCTAACTACGTTGGTAGTTCAATTGCAAATTATATAAAACAATAGAGGGGAATATAAAATCGAGCAGCAATGTTGCTGTATAGGCATGCAAACCTGTGCTCACGGAGGAGTCACGTGAGCGTCATTGTGTGCGCTTCATTAACGCAACTTTAATTGCCAAGCGTATAAAATGCTAATGTCTGTCCAGGCTATGTCAAACCGATTGCATTCTGCATTTGTTGGTGTTTTTATATTTGCCAAAAATACTGCATTGTTGTGTATGCTGCATACTTTGTGGCGTTATAGCATATTCATTAGATTTAACACAAATCCACACATGTTATTGCAACAAAAACACCCGCAGCGTATTTAAGCTAGTGCATGCGTTTGGTTTGTAGGTTTGTGTGTGTGTGTGGAGTTTGTTTGACAATGAATTATATTTACGAGGCCGCACTGCTTATTAGAATTATAGTTCGCATTTAGTTTGAATCATTAGGGCTGCTAATGCAACCATGCGCAAAATAATATCGTAATAACAATAAATTTGAATCTCAACAACAACAGCAATTTGACAGAGAAATACATGTATGCTTTAATGAGCTCACACATACACATAATTTATACAATAAAATTTATTACAAATTTAAATACAAATTTAAATGCCTGTAAAAGTGCACAGTTGCGGGTGCGCTTAACCCCAGCAAGAGCTGATTTCATTCTCTCGCCATCACATGACTGCCTGTTAGTGCGCTCATGGCCACAAATTGCTCTTGCGCCTCACATGCGCTCACACTCACACTCACACATGCATACAAACACATTATCAACATGTGTCTGCATGTTTGCATCGTGTGCGGCGTTGCGAGTGCTGCATGTTGCCATACGCAGGATAGTGACGCGTCCTTGAGCTCATTTTTCTAGTGCACTCAGTGGCACGTTGGGTGCATGAGCACATGAGTTAATGATTTTGTGATTATGTTTTGATTATATTTGAATTTTTAGTACGGTTACAATTTTGCATTTGTTTAGCAATTAATTTCCATAAATAACAAAATGAACGCGCATTTGCGCAGATATTAAATGTGGTGGACTATCTCGAGAAATATGCTTCAGTTGAAGAACTAAAATTTTTTTAAATGATAACTCTCGAATTTAAGCAGTCATTTAGGAAGGCTTGAAGATGTTTTCATAAAATGTATTAAATTTCGTATGCAAAAAAACATTTTAGTTTCGTAGCTTTATTGAATAAAAATCTAAGCAGATTACTTCAAATTCAAAAGCTTTGAAAAGCCAATAAAACAGAAGCTGAAGTGTATTTATAGTCAGGAATCGATCTCTTGAATGGGATATTCTGCACAATATCTGATAACTATTTAGCATGTACTTTTGGGCTGTGAAAGAGCGATACCGTGGATCATCTCTAATCTACTTTGTGCAAGGTATGATAATAATATATCGAAGGTGTTTTTGAACCTCTTCAAGATAAGATTTTAATTATATAATCTGGAATATATACGCCCATAGGTCCGTAAGATGTTGGCTAGAATCAGAAAAAATTACTATGACAAAGAAATTACTATTACTATTTGAATCAGTTTAATCATTCAACAACATAAAGACTATCTACAGACAGTACACTTCCTAAAAGTTCAAAATAAATCAAGATCATAAAATAGTTTTCCATATCAAACCTCTTAAATTTATTTTCAATATTTGAGCTGATCCATAGCAACCTGTTTACTAAATTTATTACTAATATTTCTTTGATTGACCGTATGTGTCCTTAAAGGGTTAGGCCAGTCTAGAACCCTGCAATTGGCATGACTTTGTTATTCTTGTCAGTAAGAACGAAAGCTTTATTAAACACATATTGGGATGTTCAAAAAACTTATATATTAGCAGTAAATTGTTGATAAAAACAGTTTGGATATAATAACAAAAAACTGATTGGGCAGGAAAATATTTTTTAATACATTTTGCGAGTTCGGTAATGCTTTTAGAGCCCCAAACATAAAATTTGCTGTAAGAAAAAAAAAATAATATAAAATTTTTTGAAAATCTTAAACCGACCAAATCCCTTAACTTGTTGGAAAACTCACGTAGAAGACCACGCTAGTTATTGAGTTTGTTTTTAAGAAGCCGAAAAAAAAATAACGCATATTTTTTTAGACACTTAAGCTGTTTATATAACAATATATATTATTTGTATGGACCAGCTGAAAACGAATATATTTTTTTTGAATTGTTAGAAAGTTTAATATATTTTACAAAAACTCATATAATTTTAATACATGTCATATAAAAAGAAGCTAGTTTAACGAAAAAATATAGGCCTAATTTTAATTTATTGATTCCTTTAAAAAATTGAAAGCAACTAAAAATATATTGGTTAACTTACTTTTTGAAAATTAAATATGAAATTAAAAATTTGTTGTAAGTATTTAGGTGAGATTAAGAGCAAACTAAAACACTTTTTTGGCTAAAACTAAATTTAGATAAATTTTCTTTAAAACTAAATGGGCTTCTAAAGCACGAACTATGTATATAGTATGTAGTATAGGCCACTTTAGCACAACCGTAAATCTTGCTGATAAATGTTCATCATACGCCACGGGTCAGCAGTGCACTGCACAACACATATCCACTATTCAGCTTGTGGTTGTTGTGCACACTCTACTGATTTCTGTTGTTGTGAGAGCATTCGCAACCACTTTGCATCGAATACTGCTTCCGTAGATTTATTTGGTTTAATCCCCAGACAAGTAGCATAAACTACACAAAATAAGCTGGTGATCTTTCTATTTGGCATTTCTTTTCGCTACGAAGAAATCTAAATATTCGTACGATGTAGTGGCAGCACCAAAGCAGTCAATCTGTTAACTTTTATGCAATCAGTTTGAACACACACGCTACAAGCGCACTCTAACATACACACACACACACACAGAAATACTTAGTTAGATTTGAGCGGGCGATACTCACCGACAACATTCAAATGCAGAAATATTGATGTGGGCGGATGGGTTGACACTTGACATTCATAGACGCCCGCATCACGTAGTTGCACAAATTTTATTTGCAGCGTCCAATCCTGTGGCATGCCACATCACGATTGAATTGGACAATCGCGCGTTAGTGAGCAGCAATGCAATTGGTTGGGTGGCCGAGTTTCCATCAGGTCCACAGTGTTACGTACGACATGAAATGAGGCAAAGAATTGGAAAATAACAGAAACCGAAATAGAAATAGAAACAGTGAAAAAGTGTCGGATATTATTCGAACAGCATTCGCAGATAAATCTAACACAATCAGTGGCAGTGGATTTTTGTATTTGCTAAAAGTTGCCACTTTTGCATGAACTAATGCATTTTACTTGTAACGTACAGCAAACTAAAGAAAAATGAAAAATCAAAATAAAATTGATTATGAACACCAATATTGCGCGCGAAAATATTTAGGTTTTTTTTTTCCTTCGCTTTTCCACTTTCACAAACACTTCGCATTATTTGCGCGAAACTTTTTACAATTCCGCAAATTTGTTGTTGTTTTTTGTGGATTTAGCTGGCATTTCGGCAACAAAGTGTCAATGCGCTGCGAATTGTCGCACACGGCCGCCGCTGCGCTGAGTTATATTTATGCGGCTTATCGCATTTGGCTGCCTGATTGCCGCTGATGCCTTGTTGTTATTGCGCAATTTTTCTTTAAGCCCTTCGAGGGTTAGCTGGCGTGTTCGCTCAACACTTTATGCCACTCACGTTTCATCGTTGCGGCCAGCTATTTTAACCACACATGCGCATGCAACATTCATTGCACTCGTGACGCAACGGCACATCACTCACGTATTCACGCGTGCAGCGAATGTTGCACGTATACCGACTGCATCCGTTGCAGTGGACACTTTGCTGCGAGTATGTTTGTAGTGTATATGCGTGAGTATTGGTGCATTTTCAAATGCAAGACACGGAAACTTTTTGAGTTTTAAAGTGTGAAAAGTTTTTCAATAATTTTAAAATTTTTTTTTTTTGTGTTTTGTAAGTTTTTTTATAATATGTGACAAACTTGGTCAATAATGAGCTTATATAGGCTACTTTATAAAACAAAATGTTTGTGTATAATAAACATAATAAGCTGCCGTCTAGAGTTCAAGTCTCACATAACGCTGAGTATTACCTCGGAATGCTTCAAATGTGTGGCGCTGAATCGCTCATCACTGCTGTAGGTAGTCAGTCCCACTGTCAGTAGATGATAGTCTTTTTTGCGTATCCAAGATACCTGAAATGTCAGAAAAGAATATCAATTAGATTGTAGTCTTTAGAATATTAATAAAAGTGATCTAATGATATACTATATCAAATTATTTTATTTTAACCTATAAAAATTTTGGCCATATACTATATACAAGGTGCAATTCAAAAGTTTTAGGACTTTTTAAACAACGCGGCTTCTAGTGGCGCCATCTGTCTGAAATTGTTATCCCTCAATTGTGTATTCTTCAGTGTTGTCGTATAAAATTTATATAACAGCTGACTTGTATAACAGCTGAGATATCGCGCTACATGTGACATTACATTTGTAGCGTCGGTCGGAAAATGAGCATCGAGCAAAGGCCAACATTAAGTTCTGTTTTAAACTTGGTAAAACTTTTACCAAAACTCATCAAATGTTGAAACAGGTTTATAGCGATGATTGTCTATCCCGTAGCCATATTCACCAGTGGTTTAAACGTTTTCAAGAGGGACGGGAGGACTTGGAAGACGACGAACGTTCGGGCCGGCCAAAAGATGTTGTGAACGAAAAAAACAAGGAAATTGTGCGTGAATTCATTGGGCCTGAGAAAGGCCTCAGAATCAGACAGATTTTTTGACCAAAAATTGCATTCATATCATCAACCATTCACCCTATTCGCCTGATATGGCACCCTGTGATTATTATTTGTTCGGAAAACTACATTTGGCCATGATAGGAAACCGCTATGCTGACGTTGATGCCATCCAAAAGGCGACGACCGCCATCCTCAACGCTATACCGACAAATGACCTAAAAAAGTCATTCGATAACCTTTTTGAACGTGCAAAACGTTGTATTCAGGCGGAAGGAGAACAAATAATATTCGTTTTTTAATAAAAGTCCTGAAACTTTTGAATTGCAAATTGTAAAAGAAAAATTCTTCCATATAGGCCAAAGTAGGTAGTATATGTCACTCTCGACCATAATTTGATTGGTTTTAGCGTATTATAAACTTGTTAAACGTAACCTGAAATTTTCGGTTCGGAACTGAATACGTACAAGTATATACTATTTTTTATTAAGTTATAGAAATATGGAGTGCTAGAAAATTTTAAAATAAAAATTTATATTAATACGTAATCCCCAAATACATATACCTAAAGTTTTATTTTAATTTTGGGTTACTTTTTAAGTTAAGACTAGAAAGAGCCGTTAAGAAAAATAGATCTCTGACTATTAGCGGTATCATATAAAACTCAAACTTTTACTGACATATTTGAAACGGTTAACTCAAGTTTAAATCGCTGCAAATACCTTCTTACCGACAAAATATATCTGATAAAATATATTTTTTATATTCTTATTTTATAATAAAAAAAAAAATATTTGAAATAATTGATTTCACAACATCCAATTTGTAGCTCATAAAAGTCTGTAGGCCTGAATTCTTCTTAATTCCAAGCTAGCTACACGCACTAAAGGTCGACTTGTTGCCCGAAATGGTCATTAATCATTGGACTTAAGCTCATAAAATTCGCAATTCAATCACCCAACAGCGTTGTACTACACTGCTTATACGTAAAATGCACAAAATGATTGTCCAAAGCACGTGTGCTAACGTAGTACGTATATACTCGCTTATATGCGCTTATAAACACACATCTGAATATGTAGCAATCAATTTTAAATTTATATATTGATGAATTTTTTTATTCCAACGCAAGCCTGAAAGTATTTAAGAGGGGGGGATATTATAGAGGTTGTAAGCGAAGGTAAAAAAAATTCAAATGAAAGAAAAATATTTATAGAACCTTTATATTTTCTATATTCAACGCAAGTACATATGTATATATACGTACTTATATTTACAAGTGTAAGTGACGGCTTGGGCCGACGCGTACAAGTTATCATAATGACATTAAACAAATTTTAATTTTCTTATCTCCTGCTTTTAAGCTCTTACAACGAAAACTTGAACAAATATTTTTCTATAATCTTTTTCACCTTCCTTACTTTTATTTAAATGCCGCACAGGTGATTGACCGACCCACACTGCCCATCACAAGTGAAGCATTTGGGCTCAAATCAGTCAGATCAACTGGCTTTAGATAGAAGCGAATAGGGACACATAATAATATTTTGCAGTTTTGCAAACCAACTAAAATGTGAAAGAAGGCACGATATAAAAGCGTATTGTGGGTATTTTATGCCAAGTACGAGTATCTGTTTAAATTTTTATTGATATGCTCTGCTATCGTCACCAGCTGCTATGAAAGAAGGTAATAGCAGAGGCGAAGCCTGATACTTTATTCTATACCAGCCTTTTTTTTTATTAAATATCATTTAGTTTACACGAACTTCGATTGTGTGAGGTCGTTTACTACAACTGTTATAAGCTTTTGCGATATTGGTGTTGTTGTGCAGCGCTTTGACTTCACTGGCGCTGCTTTGCTTTCGCATTGCGCACAAAATTCTTTGTATGTGTATAAGTACAATTTGTGGGAGCTCATTTTTAAAGTACAAAAGAATAAGAGAAGAAATATTCATAAGGCTCTTTTGTTTTCTAAATTGATTGTGGCGCCATATTGTCGTCATGGAGCCGACCGCCCACACCAGAAATAAAGGAAATGAAGCAAAGTGCGTCAAATTGACGCAAATGTCAAGCCATTGAATAATATTTCCACTCATTTGCTGTCGTGCCATCTTGATAGCCTAGGCATACATTGTATGCGTAAGGACTTAGATACACAATATGTTATGGGCGATTATGTAAGCACACACACACACACATATATACGCACACGCCCACATACTTTGTTATTAAGAGAGAATTACTTCGACCCTAAATTGAACTTTTCACAATTACTATTCAAGCACATGAGGTTTTCAGTTGACTTTCCATTTAAAGGAAAGGAAAAAAAGAAATTGAAAGTCGATACTTTAGCATACCATGAACCGTTATTTATGTAAGTACATACTAGGCATATTTATTGTTGGCATATGTTGGTCACTCTTGGCGCTGAGTGGCCCATATCAATACTACCCTGCTTATTGAATTGTAAATGCCAAGCGTTTATAGGGATCGGCGATTTCCGTTATACCATAAATAGTAGCGAAAATTGTTCTAGCAATGATAATATACATTTATATCTTTTTCAATATTTATTTGTTTGCTTGTGAAACTGGTTTAGTATTTGCATGTGAATGGAACATAAGTGCATTATTGTATAATCGCAAATCGAACATACCATATTTGCTTTAGATTTTTAGTGTAAGGGTTACAGAAAGGTATAGTTTCTATTTGCTTCTAAAATCCAAAAGTTTGCCAACTTTAATAATGGTAAATATTTGTATAATGGAGTGGCTAAAGTTATAACCATGCCCAATCGGCAATTTGTTAGGTTTTCATATTTACAAAAGACTAACAATAAACTAGTTTTCGCTGCTTATTTTCTTTTATTTTGAGTTTTATAAACGTTTAAAAGATTTGGGTAATTTTAACAAAAGTTTGCCCATTCCTACTTCTTACAAGCATACATGGTCTTATGAAAGGCTTGAGAGGACTCTCGCTTCTTAAAAATATTTTCCATGTAAAGCTTTTCTTTAACTGAGCAAATTTTTCTCAATTTAGGGAATTACGTCGCTATTGAATAAATAGAAGTGTAATTGTTATAAGAAAGAAAAAAGGAAATAATCTAAATAGCTCCAGCCTCGCAAATTAAGTCACTTACAAAAAAAGGAACTCGTCGGCTTTCGCCTCGAAATTAAACAGTTTTTAGAAGAAATACAGTGCGACATACGTCATGCGACATGCTAACTGTCTTAGTGTGACAAGTTAATGAAAAGAACAATTAATCACAAGAGAGGCAAAGTGTATTGCGAATTTCAAGGGAACTTAGTGTTATATGTTTACAAGCAACTAATTATTATTAGGGTGGGCAAAAAAAACAATTTTTTGTGGTGTCCTGACTATGAGTTTGGGTGCAAAAATTTTCCTTCACGTACAGTTATTTTTATAATTTTAGTAAATGGTGATGATTTGACCCCTGCACCCCTTGAAAACAATACAAAAAATGTTACGTATTCGGAATTTTTTACTATTTCAGTTTAGCAACCTAAAATTAGCAAGAAACAACCGCTAGCACCACAGTCGCAAAATGACTTAAACTAGTGTAATTAAACTTTAAGTGTAATAACCTTTCAGCGGTAAAGTTCCCGAAAACAACTTACTGTTAACAAAAAATATGGTAAAGTGATTATCAGTATCTGCGACACTTTTTGTTTCGGGCATTTTGAAATGTGTGTTATATGTTGCTGTGCAATTGCGTAGAATTCCATTTTTAAGCTGCACGCATAGAGTTGTTCAAAATATTTTCCGCAGAATCACTTAGAAAAGCAAACGACGAGCGCAAATATTCAGCGAGTTACATATTTTATACACTAGCAACATGTTGCTAAAAGTGTAGAAGTTTCACTAAAAAAAATGTTTATTACGTGAGATAGGGTAGCCATACTTTGCACTGCTTCGACTAGTTAGTACCGCGTCCACTTCTTACAGAACCAAAACTTATTTGGCTCTCATCGTCTTTTTTTACCTTACAAAAGACATCTCAGGACTTTAAAGAGCTGTCGAAGTGAAAGTAAACGCAAGTATGTAGGAGTTTCAAAAAATTTCCGAAATCTGGCATTCAACTTTCTACGACCTCATAAATATTATGAACATGAAAATCCTTATGCCTTTCGTTGACAGACGTTATATATCATATACTATATCAGGAGGAGCGGGACAAATCTCTAGAAAACTAAACGAAACTCTAAACAGAATCACATTTGAAACAAATTTGTACTATAGGGGGATTTAATCCTCAAACATATATGAATATATATCCCTTTGACTAACTTTCCGCAGTAACGTACATTTATACATATTTCTAATGACATTTAACTATTAAAACTTTCGAAAACATCTAATTTTTTGATGCACCCGAACTCAACCACACCCTACTTGTTACATACAGCAATGTGCCTATGGATATATGCTGGAA